AGGATATTATATTTGATCCTGGAGGTGATAGAGAGCCACAGGAGGTTACTGAATAGAGGAGCAGCATGGTCATAGCTGCATTTTAGGAAGATCACTTTGACAGCCGCTAAATGGAAGAAAGACCAGACCTCAGGAGAGATTTGTAGCCCAGGAATGAAGTGATAAGGACCTGAACCAAGATGGTGCCAGTAGCAGAGGAAAGGAGCCATATGTAAGAAATATTACAAAGTTAATATTGACAGGCCTTGGCTACAGATTGGAAATGGAGGAGTGAGGAGTTAGGATTCCTCATAGATTTAGAGGGGTGAGGAAGGTATGAACTAGAGTGCTTGGCTATGAGACGGCAGGGAAGGAGACAGATGTAGGAGATGTTGGGAAGGTAGAATTAATCAAACAGAGAAGGAAGAATCAAAGACGGTTCTGAGCTTTTAAATCTAAGTGATTTGGTGACTGGTGGAGCCAGGGAAGTTTGATCGCAAATAGTAGTTTAGGGGGAAGGTGATGAGTTATGTTTTGGACTCTCTGCCTTTGAGTTCTCAATGGGAAATTCAGATATTCAATAGGCTATCGATAATGGGTGACCAGAATTCAGGTGACAAATAAGGGCTAGATATATAGCTATGTAGGCAGCTAGGTGGTATAGTGGATAGAGTACTGGGCTTGGAATCAGGAAGACTCATCTTCCTGAGTCCAAAGCTGGCTTCAGACATTTACTAGCTGTGTGACCCTGGGCAAGTCATTTAACCCATTTTCCTCAGTTTGTTCAACTGTAAAATGAACTGGAGAAGAAAATGGCAAACCACTCCAGTATTTTTGCCAAGAAAACCCCAAATGGGGTCGCAAAGAGTCGGACACAACTGAAACAACCAAACAACAAAAAAATATAGATTTGGGAGTCATTTATAACACATCCGTAAGAGCTATGAGCCAAAAAGATAAGAGGGTCCAGTATAAAATTCTGGGGAACACTTTCACTAAAGAGGTGAAATGGGAAAGTGAGAGGACAATGGATGATGTTTCTGAAATGGGGATTGAGAAAGACAAAATAAAAAGGCTTTGATTTTAATTCTTTTAAGGAATAGTCTTAGTGATAACCATAGTATACTTAGATAGAGCAGGTCTCAGAGTCAGAATGCCCTGGGTTCAAGTCCCCTTTTTTGACATATACAAGCTAAGTGACTATCTTTTGCCTTTCTTTCTCTCTCCAACATTTAGGACAATGTCACATACATAGTAGGAGCTTAATAAGTGAGTATATAGCACAACCTTTTCACAAGTGAGTATGTATTACAAGGCCTTCATAGTGATAGGAAGATGAATCACTTGGTAGATAATTGGTTCATCTGAATAAAGAGAATTAACTATTCAAACAGGCTGAGAAACGAGAATGAGGAAATGGTTCTAAGATAAGTTTATTCATCTCACAAAGAGTATTTTCCTCTGAGAGATAAGCACCAGAAACCACTTCAGTTGGGGCATTTACACTTTTTTTTAAAGTCTTTTCAGGTCAAAACCCATTACAATAAACTCCCAGAAACCATCTCAATTCTTCCTGCCCTGAAATTCCATTGTATTTGCTACTGTTGAAAATAAGCTGGCCATTGGCCTAGACTTGATTATCTTTGCATTTTGCAGAAATTCCCATTCAAATGCTATTTCTCAAAATGGGATTTGACCTCTGTTATAATCACATTTCTGACAACTTAATACATTTAAATCAACAGAAAATTCACTGTAATGGCCCCAGATCCCATCTTTTCGCATTCCCCTAAAAATGAGTAACTGGAGCATTTTCAAGGGACGACGCAGAAGATCGAAGTAGCTACCTGATTATTAACAGAAAGACCAGTTTGAAGAGGCCAACTGCAGAAAAACAGATCTTGGTCTATTCAAGTCTGTTCAAGAAGAACACAGATACAGGAATGGAGACAATTAACATATTTTAAATGCCACGACTGCATTTGAATGCTGAGACAAAGCCACTATTCACCTGTTTCTTGTCATGCACGAACAAACAAATTTAATCCAAAGATAATAGTGAACCCTTACTGTAACCAAGCATTTCTCTATCCTCTCTCCTCTGGTATCAAACATGATACTAATATTGCTAAGACAGAAAATAAAAAGGTTTTGAATTTCATTTTAATTCTTTTAAGTGGAAATGTTAAGTGGATAGAATGGTGTAATTGGATTGCATCACAAAATCTCAGAGTTAGAAGGTACCTCAGTGGTCATCTATTTTAACCAGTAAGCAAATAAGAATCCCCTCCCCCCAAAAAATGCATTTATTAAGTGCCTTCTATGTTCTAGGAACTGTGCTAAGAATTTCACAACTATTATTTCATTTGATCATTGTGACAACTCTGGGTAGCAGGTCATATTGTTATTATTCCCGTTTTATCATTGAAGAAACTAAGACAGAAACGAGGTAGGTGGGTCTCATAGCTAGTGAGTGTCTGAGGCTTGATTTGAACTCAGATGGACCCAGCAGTGTGCCACCCAGCTGTTCTCTATCATGACTAGTCTGAGATAAGCGATGCTGGCTTCCTTGCTATTCCTCACTCGAGAATACTGTCTCTGGGAATTTTCCCTGGCTCTCCCTCATACCTGGAATCTCTCCTTCTTCTTCTCTATTTCCTGATTTTCCTGACTTCTTTCAAGTCTCAGCTAAAATCCCACCTACAGGAAGCCTTTCCTATTCCCCTTCATGCTACTTCCATCCCTCTGTTGATCATCTCCAATTTATCCTGTTCTCTCTCTTGTTTGTACATAATTGCCTGCATGTTGTCACTCCCATTCCACTGTGAGCTCCTTGAGAGCAGGGACTGTCTTTTGTCTTTCTTTGTATCTCCAACCTTTATCACAATGCCTGGCACATAGTAGGAGCTTAATAAATGTTTATTTACTGAGTGACTGACAGGTCACTCATCAGGCTTCTGTTGGCAGACCATCAGTGAAAGAACACCTACTACCCACCCAAATAGCTCATTCCACTTTTTGCATCATTCTGATTTTCTCTGTACAACCTGAGCCCAGGGCTTCTCGTCCTGCTCTCTCAGTCCAAACAGAACAGCCTGTTCTGATTCAACACTTTGATACTCAACACTTCCTCAGCCTCCTCAGCTGCATCTCCCATCTGATGGAGGTGTGGGGGACACAACAATAAACCCTTCCCAAAATTCCCTTTGTAGAGGGCTCAGAATTGTCCAGCTAATTCCATCTCCCATCAACTGTACTGCTTGCTTCTGACTCCACTGATACCATGCCCCCACACACACACACACTGGGTACCCTCTAGTGGTCCTGCCCTCCTTTTCAGCTTCCTCTTCTGCATCATATTTCTTCTTTAGATTGTAAGCTCCTGGACATCAGGGACTGTCTTTCTTTTTTTTATTTTTATCCCCAGTGCTTAAACAGTGCCTGGTATATGGTAGGTGCTTAATAAATGTTTATTGACTATTGTCTACTCTCTTTTTCATGGTAACCCTTCAAATTCTTAAAGACGGCTATCATGTACCCAGTAAACTTTCCTCCTCTTCAGGCTAAATATTCCTTTAATCTATTCGCATATGAAGGAGTATGAATTTGAGATTCTTCCCCATCTTCACCCATTTCTGAATACTTTTCAGCTTACCAGTACTCTTTCAAAAACATGGCATCCATAAATCAACATAATATTCCAGGTGAAGTCTGTCCAGGGTAGAGTACAATGGTATTGAATCTTGTCTCTTTCACTACTACCTGTGTGATCATGGGCAAATCATTCAAACTCACCGAGCTTTGGGTATTTGTTTTTCAGTTTAGTTTAGGCTTTTGGGGTTTTTTTTTTCATTTGTAAAATGAGATTGTTGAAATACCATAATATAACGATTCTAATTTCTGCTGTTCATCTCTGATGGAAGTTCTCTACTGAACAATGAAAGAGGTAAAAGGAGGCTTTAAAATTAGGAAAACTTTGTTTCCTGAAAGGACATTTCTCCATTTGTGGTTTGGAATTAGAATCAATTTTCCTACAGAAATAGAAATTAGTTTCCCCAGACCAGGCTGCAAAAGGCTACTTAACTTAAAATATTATAATACCTAATGTTCTCTCAAATATATTCCTAGAGGTATGTTAAAGAACCATCATATAAGGACCTTGGGCTGAATCTGAGTTACAATATCATCACAGATTAGCCCTTTGGACTAATTGTTAGATTCAGGGGTAAGTGCCAAGCATAGCCACATATGATGAAATACTCGGGAATCTGGGAGATGGGGATCACAGATATGCCACATTTGTACTCACTCCCTGAAATATTTTAAATCTAACCTAATGTAGCAGACAGGACAGCTAGGTGGCAGAGTGGATAGAGTGCTGGGCCTAGAGTCTGGAAGACTCATCTCCCTGAGTTCAAATCTGGCCTCAGACTCTTACTAGCTGTGTGACCCTGTGCGAGTCAATTCACCCTTTTTGGCTCAGTTTCCTCATCTGTAAAATAAGCTATAGAAAGAAATGGCAAAACAAACCAATATCTTTGCCAAGAAAACCCTGAACGGGGATTGTGACGAGTCGGACATGACTGAAAAACAACCAAACAACAATAACATGTATGTACAGATCTCTTCTTCTAGATTGCAGAAGAAAGGAACCCACCATACTTCATCTTCCCACTTATGTCTAGAACACAGCCTTGCAGATAGAAGGCTCTCAATAAAGGCTTGTTGCCTGAATGTATCTATTACATAAAATGAGCTATATCTGTTTTCTGAAGCAGTCTGTCAAATCATCAGGATCTTGACATTAGATTTAAAACGAGAATAATTAGAAAGTCTTATTTTCTAATTATCATTTATACATTATATATTTGTAATTCATTTTGATATATTATCTGTACATATCAGAATCGTGGTATGTACCAGAAAATTGTACCTATCATAACAATTCTCAAAGAGGTCCATTTCACTGGTGGTTGTTTTTTTTTTTTCTATATGACATTAAAAGAAAAAGATAAGGGCACCTCGAGTTTCAACTTGACATCTTCTTTTGTCTTAGAAATAAAGTCTAAACCAGAGATGGCTGACTCCACTCCGCTGCAGTACTGCCCATAAATAACCAATCTGAAAGGTAAAAAAAAGGACAAAAAGGGGGGGGGGGGGAAGAAATAGAAATGAATAACAAAGGACCAGAATGAAATGGGAGGCAGAGAGACAGAATATCTGTCTACATAAAACCACAATTAAGAAAATCTACAACAATTTAACTACTGATCAATCTACTAATTGGCTACTAATCAAGTTAGCACTAACCAGTAAATAACAACTAATCAACCAATTAACGAATCTTATATTAAGTGCCTACTGTGGCAGATGCTGTGGCAGCCATTAGAAGTAGGTAGGTGGTGTTGTGTGGTTAGAATCCTGGACCTGGAGTCAGGAAGACCTGAGTACAAATGTAGACTGAGACATTTACTAGCTGTCTGACCCTGGGAAAGTCACTTAACCTCCATTTGCCTCAGTTTCCACAACTGTAAAATAGCAATAATAACAGCACCTATCTTTTATTTGCAGGGTTGTTGTAAGGATCAAATGATATCATATTTCTAAAGCACTTAGTACAGCGCCTGGTGCATAGGCGTTATTAAATTCTTATTCCTTCCCCTTTCCCTCCCACCCCTCTCCTCCCCCGCCCCCCCCACCTGTTAGAGGGCAATAGTCAACATAAGAAAGTATTTGTTTATCCATGAACGTGAATTTGGCCTAATATAATGGGAGACTTATCAGCCTTATCCAGCTTTTAGCACAGTTCCTGGCACATAATAAGCATTTAATAAATGTTTATTGATTGATTATTGATTATTAGAGGCGTATTAAACATTGAGATTATTTTTAATAGTCACGTTAACTGTGGTATATCTGAGCCTTAGTTTTCTATGTAGCTTGATAGTTACCAACTGTGCCTTTTCATAGGTGATCCCCCATGCCTGGTTCATACTCCCCTTACTCACCTGTACCTAGCTTCCTTCAAGTTATGTCTCATTCACCACCTTCTTCATGAGGCATTTCTCAATCCTCTTAGTTACAAGTATTTTTTAAAATTTCATGATATTATACTGTATTACTTTATATTTTGGAGAGAGACTAGTCATTTCGTTAGCATGGAAACTCCCATTTCCTACGCAGGAAGCTCCTCTTACCTTTATAGATCAAAACCTGCTCTTAAATTGACAATCTTAGAGCACTGGGGGGCATTGAGAAGGTTAAGTGCTCAAGGTCACACAGGCAATATATATCAGAGGCAGGATTTGAACCCAGTTCTTTCCAACTGAAGCCAGTTCTCCATTCACTATACCATGCTGCCTTTCTGCTATTATACATATAATACTTGCTTCTCTGTCTACATATTGTATAGCATAGGCTCATTTTTGGTTTTGTATAGCAGACCCCTCACCATAGCTAGGGAGCGAGTGGCCAAGCTCAGGTTTTGATTGGAAGAGACTGAAAAGAAAGTCACACACCCATCAGACACTAGAAATGTGATCAAGGTCAGAGAAGAGAAGATGGAATCAGTGCATGTTCCCTTTGTAGAACCCTGTTTGTAAGTCTACTTCCCCTGCTCGATGAGACATGACAAGGAACAGGAAGAAGCTCCTGTCAGCAACAGGATACCAAACAGAAAAGAACCAGGCTCCTGTCATAATATCATATCACCATATCTTGACCACAGCAGGCATTTAATCAAGGTTTGGTGAATTGAATTAAATGTATAAAATGAAGAAAATGGCTTAGATGATTGCAAGAATGGTTTCAATGATTTCAAGAATGGCTTCTGGAATGGTTTCCCTTTCAATCTAAGAGCCACTGAAATCCCTGAGTAGTAAGGATGTTAATAAGAAGAACTCATATTTCTAAAGAGCTTTCATATTTACTAAGAACTTTCTAATAGTTATCTATAAAGTATGTAATAGAGGCTTTCTGATTCTCATTTTAAAGATGAATAAAAGGCATATAAAACTGTGCATACCCTTGGATCTAGCAATACCACTGCTAGGTCTATATCCCAAAGAAATCCAAAAAAAGGGAAAAGGAACTATTTGTACTAAAATATTTATAGTAGCTCTTTTTATGGTGGGTAAGAATTGGAAATTGAAGGGATGCCCATCAACTGGAGAATGGCTAAACAAGTTGTGGTACATGATTGTGATAGAATATTATTGTGCAGAAATAACAGGCAGGATGATCTCAGAAAAACCTGGAAAGACTTACATGCATAGTGAAGTAAACAGAACCAGGGGAATGCTGTACACAGTAACAGCAATATCATTCAATGAAGAACTGTTAATGACTTAGGTATTCTCAACAATACTCAGCAATACTCAACAATCCCGAAGAACTAATGATGAGGCATACTATCCACCTCCAGAAAAAAAATTGATATTGTTTGAATACAGACTGAAGCATGCCATTTTTCACTTTCTTTCAATTTTTTTCTTTTATTCTAATCTTCTTGCATGGAAATGTTTTACTTGGTTGCACATGTATAATCTGTACCAGGGAAGGGGAGAGGGGAGGGAGGAAAGATAGAATTTGGAACTCAAAACTTTAAATAAGAATGTTTCTAAAAATCGGGAAAAAAAAAAAAGAATATATATTTCCTGAGCACAAAAAAAGGCCTTGTCCAAAATAAAGGGAGGTTTAGAGGGAGAGGTGGCTTGCTCAGACTGACAGTTTAGCCCCAGTAATAATGTCCAAGTGATATTATTTATAGAAGTGTTTGGATTTTCATGTACTTTAATAGGGGAAAACAGAGGTAAATAGATCATTCAAAATAAATTTCAGAAAGATGTCAATTGCAAGAGCAGCATGATAGAGTGGATGCAAGGCAGCTAGGTAGTGCAGTGGATAGAATACTGGGCTTGAAATCAGTAAGACTCGACTTCCTGAGTTCAGATCTGGCCTCAGGAACTTACATGTGACCCTGGGCAAGTCACTTAACCTTAACCTCAGTTTCTCATCTGTAAAATGAGCTGGAGGGGGAAATGGCAAACCACTCCAGCATCTTTGCCAAGAAAACCCCCAACGGTGTCCTAAAGAGTCAAACACAACTGAAAAACAACTGAACACCAAAGTGGATAGGATATCAGTCTTCCAGTAAGGATTCTAATTCTCCTCTCCCCACTTAGATATTTAGTAGTTATGTGACTCTGAAAAAGTTATTTTACTTTGGTTTCCTTATTTGCAAAATAGAGATATTGGTATCACCTACCTTATAAGGTTACTGTGATGATTAAATGAAACAGTGTGTGTAAAGTACTTCGCAAACATGAAATGTGCTATATAGATACAAGTTATTATCATAAGACCTCCCTATTAACACAGAAGTTTGTTTTTATGTTACTAATCTATGCACACCAACATTTAGAAATGTTACTCAAATAAAGATATCATTTGCTAGGATATAGAAGCCAGTCCTTTTATATGTTTTTGATAATAAGACTGACTCTACCCATATCTCATCCTTTCTACTTCTCTATTATGTGTTGTCTTCCTCTCCACCTTCCTTGACAGTAGGGGCAGTCTTGTTTTCTTGTTTTTGTCTTCCTAGTGCTTAGCAGAGGGCCTGGCACATTAAGCATTTAATAAAGAGCTGTCCATCATCAACCTATCTATTATCTAGTTCTTTATAATCTATCTATCCTCAGATGAGGATAAAATGAGATAACATGTAGGGTTCTTTGCAAACCTACAAGTACTACATCTTAAGATTCAATCATTCTGACTGTATCTTAAACCATGCTCCAAAACCCTACATCCCATTTGTATAACCACTTCCTTCACTAGTCATTAACTTTCTATATGTGATTTTGCCCTTTCCATCTCCTCCTTATCTTCTCTTCAAAGCCTTCTGTTGGAAAGGGCAATGAAAACATTATCTATGTCCCCAAAGTTTTCACTTTCTTGACCAGGACTTCATAATTTCTAGACCTAATTTGTAGGTAGGGGTAATTTGTCTCTATATGATCAACACACCAATGGACAGTGGTCTTCAAGAAGTTCTCCCTTACCTCCTAGATATGCAGGTCTTTTGATTTTTTGTGTCAGTCTAGGTATATAGCTATGGCTGCCGGAGTATCACCTTAGCAGACAGTTGACAACCAACATAAGTCTTAGTAAAGGAAAACTCACTTTTGTTATATAAACAATATCATCAAACAGATTCCTTGTTTGTTTGATTGATTGTTTTTGTTTGTTTTATTTTGTTTTGTTTGTTTGTTTTATGCTAAATAGAACCTCATGCCTGAAATATTCTTGCTTCAAAAAGTCCTAGTTAAAATCCCACTTTCCAGGGGCAGCTAGGTGGCTCAATGGATAGAGCACTGGCCCTGAAGTCGGGGGGACCTGAGTTCAAATCTGGCCTCAGACAAAACACTTGCCACTTACTAGCTGTGTGACCCTAGGCAAGTCACTTAACCCCAATTGCCTTAAAAAAAAAAAACTTTCCACAAGAAATCTTTCCTGATAGCCCTTAACTCTAATGCCTTCCTTCTGTTGACTACCTCCAATTAATCCTGTAAGTGGTTTGTTGGACATGGTTATCTATGTGATGTCACCCCCATTAGACTCTGAGCTTCTTGAGAGCAGGGACTGTATTTTGTTTTCCTTTGTATTCCTCAGTACTTAGCACAGTGCCTGACATACAGTAGGCATTTAAAAAATGATTATTCACTGACTGACTACTACATATAGTAGATACTTTAATCCATTTTCTTGAGTTTAATCTAAACCAATCTCCTACTTTTTTATATGCAGAAACCAAGGCACAAAGAGAAAAAAGTGACTCAAAACCATATATTTATGGGAAAGCTATTAGGACTAGATCCCAGATCATCTGTCTCTCCTCCCTGTGCTCTTTACCCCATACCACAAAGATTCTGGGTTAAAAAAAAAAAAGAGGCACCCACAATGCTGTAAGAATCCATTACCTTGAGATGAAGATTTTGTGTTTAACTGACTAGAACACAGCCAGATGTAGAGGAGGCTGATTAAAAAATAATTTTCATTTCAGCCTTGGCACAAAGCACCAATGCTTCCAATGGTGGCCCACGTCCGGTCAAATGAGTAATGGAAAGGTTAAAAATATTGAAAGTTACTTTTCCCTTCAGAACTCTGCCCAATACATTGGCCAACTATGATTCTAGAGAGACTAAGGATGAAGAATGCTACTCATCTCCTAACAGAGAGCTGATAGATTCACAAACATGGCCAATGTGAGAATTCATATTGCTTGCCTATGCATATTTGTTATGAGGGTTTTATTTTTCTTTCTTTTTTTCCAGTTGGGGAATAGATTGGCAGAAAAGAAAAATAAATGCTTGTTAGTTAGATAGGCAGAAAAGAAAAATAAATGCTTGTTAGTTTAAAAAAATAATTTTAAAAAGTTACCTTTCCTTGTAGTTAATGAAAATTTGATATAAATTCTGGTCATTTTTATTGACAATGGAGTCATTAATCTCTTGTGTCAGGCTTCGGTGAACTTTCACTAGTTCCTTGAAAAAAGAAAATAATATCACAGAACATTAATAATCAAATTCTTCGAGAGCCCACCTTCCTTAGCCCACCCTATCACCCAAACCCTTAACAACACAGAACCCAAATTATGGTTGGAGTTGCTGCTCATCACTGAATTGATTTATCTGTCCATACAAATCTGCCAATATTAGGGTGGTAGATATATTTTTAAAGAAATAAATCACACGTGGGAAATAGCAGACTTTGCCTTCAAATGTCAGTGTCCATGCAAACAGAGAAATTAACTCACTAGTTATTAAGAGCTAATTTATCCACCATGCAAAAATATGTGTGGCTCCTTTTTATCCACTTTATAATCATTTAAAACTTTTAAATAAAATTAGTCAAGTGTTTAATGTTTTATTGACAAGAGAAAGTAATGATTATGTCCCTGGCTGTGAAAAATTAGATTTGCACATTGGTCAATTAGTGGTATCCTTATGCTAAGCTAATAGCAGTCACACTAAATTGCTTAAAACATCAGACAGTTAATGGCAGAAAGAAAGAGCTAATAAATTTGACTAAATAGTTGAGCAGAGCTACTCAACAGCCAGAAGTTTACAATTTTTCTGAAAGGCAAATAATTTCTAAACTTCAGACAGAAAATGTACATCATAACTGAAAAGAGATAGACACCTCTTTGATTTTCCCATTATCTCCTCCTTGGTGCCTTTGAGTATACCTTGGCTTAAAAGACTAATTTTTGCATAGGAGAATGGAAATAAAAGCAGAGTTATTTGTCCTTGTCATTTTGTTGAGATAACTGTAAAATCCACAATAATTGGAATGTCAAATGGTTCCTAAGATCAGATGCTGTAATCTAGGAGGTTCTACATCTCAAGCTTTCTAGGACAAGCATTATTTTTTTGTATGCTGAGAGGCAAATTGACATGATGAGTACTTCTGCCCACTGTGCGAAAAATCAATGTGTGTGCATGGGAAGACATAAATGAACAGACACAGAGTAAAGTAAGCAGAACCAGGAAAACAATATGTGAGATGACTACGATGAAAATGGAAAGAACAACAAAATAACCTCAACTGAATACTGCACATCATAATAACCAAGCTTGAGCCCAAAGAGGAGATATGGGAAGGACTTTACCAGCCTCTATATAAAGAAGGGGGCCTATAGGTATAGAAAACTACATAGATCAGACTGTCTATATCTTCATTAATTTCACCGAATTGTCCTCCCACCCCTCCTTATTTTTTCATCCTTTTTATAAGGGATGACTCTCTGGGAAAGAGATAGTGGGGGAGTACCACATTTTTCGATAGAGTCTTATAATAATAACAGCTCACATTTATATAGCACTTTAAGATTTCCAAAGTGCTTAATACAGACTATCTCATTTGATCATCACAATAACCCTATTTTTTGTTGTTCAATCATTTCAATCATATCTGACTCTTTATGACCCCATTTGAGATTTTCTTGGTAAAGACACTGAAGTGGTTTGCCATTTCTTCCTCCAGCTCATTTTACAGATGAGGAAACTGAAGCAAACAGGATGAATTGACTTGCCCCAGTTCACACAACTAGTAAATGTCTGAGGCCAGATTTGAACTCAGGGAGATCAGTCAGTATTCTTACCTTCAGGCCCTGTACTCTATCTATTGTGCCACCTAGCCGCCCCCACAACAGCCCTATAAGGTAAATGATACCTGTATCCCCATTTTGCATATGAGGAAACCAAGGTAAAATAACTTTGCAGGCACATAGCAACTAAGTGCCTACGGGAGATTCAAACCTAGGCCTTCCTGACTTCAAGTCTAGCACCCTATTCATTATACTATGAGGCTTTTGCAATTAGCATCTTCCTTAAATTAATTTTGAGTAAGCCATCTATTTGCCTCTATTTCCTTGTTGAAGTACATGAAAATCCAACCACTCCTCTAAATAAATTCACTTGGGCATTGTTACTACTAAAATATTTTATGCAATGAAAAAGTATTTGGGATCTACCCAGAACTTGAAGGCAAATGTTTGAATGATGGACATGGCAAAACAGAGAAGAGGAGGGAGAGAAAATGGTACTAGGACAATCCACTGAACACAAGAGGATTAGGGAGGTCTGGGCCAACGTAAGGATGATGAAAGAGCTAAGAAATGTTACTAAAATAGCATACCCACTTATCTCATAGACCATATTCTTTTTACAATGGATGTAGAACATATACCACTAAATAGGAGGATAGCTTCTGAATTCTTTCTTTTGGGAGAAAGAGAAAAGTAGAAAATTGTCTTCATCCAGACAGGAGGGAAATTTTATTGAAGTGTACCAGCATATAGACTATAATAATTAAATATATGTTTATTCATTTATTCTTTGCCTGAATGGTGACTAAAATTTTTCTTTTAAAACTTTAAGGGAAGCATCTTAGAACTATAAGGTAAATACAGAAATGGATAAAATGCATAGCCATAATAATAGCCAAGATATATAGAGTCCTTCAAGGTTTGCAAAGCATTTTACAAATATTATCTTATTTTGTCCTTATAACAACCCTGGAAGGTACATGCTATTATTACCTCTGTTTTACAGATGAGAAAATTGAGGCAGGTAGATGTTAAATGGCTTGCTCAGAGCTACACAGCATGACTGGCTGTAGCTGGATTTGAGCTCATGTATTCCTAGTTCCAGGTCTTATGCTCTATCCATTGCACCTACCACCTTTCTTGCCTTGGCAAGAAACACAGTAGGTACTGATTTCCTTAGAAAGTTCTGGATGATAGAAGTTCTCTGGAGAATGATATGGAACATAAATCTTTGTGCCCCAAAACATTCTGCAATTACAAACTGGAATGTAGAAAGCATAATAAGATGAAGTGAAACCAACAAAGAAATAAACTTATTCCCAAACTAACATGTTTTATGTGTTTCTCATGACATATTCTTAAAGCTTATCCATGTCTTCAATTTAAACCACAGGATCTTTACTTACAGGAATGTTGATGAAGACAGTATCGAACTCTGTAGCTGTCAGAAATCTTTTCAGTGGTGTCATGAAATACTGTAATGAGACAATGCAGATGCTACTGTTATGTTGGGTTCTTGTTTTCTAATTCACACAATATCTTTTTCAATCAACCGTCCAACCGTCAACCAGTTATTGAACATCTAATGTATATTCAACACTGTACTAATAATCGCCATGGGGATTACAAAAGCATAAGGGATTTACGATCTAGTTGAAAAGACAGGGCATGCACACATAAAAAGTTAGCAAACAACAAATGGCAGTCTATTGTAAGGGCAAAATGAGTAGGGTATTAAGCGAAAAATAAAATAGATGTATAACTAGGGCAAAATGATCAGGGCTTTGCACCAGAGCATCAAATTCAGAAGTCACCGATGGCATTTAAAGCTCTTCAAAATAGAACAATGGAGTATAACCTCTAGTTAGCAAGGATAATTAGTTAATTATGAAGTTACTTTATGGCATGCTTTTTCCTTAACCCTAACCCACTTCTTACACTCCATCTACCATGAATAATAATAACAGTAATACTAGCTAATATTTATAGAGCACCTACTATGTGCCAGGCTCTGTGCTAAGTGCTTTATAATTATTACCCCACTTGATCCTCACAACAACACTATGAGGTAGGTGCTATTATTTTCTTCATTTTATAGATAAGGAAACTGAAGAAGAGGTTAAGTGATCTGCCTGGGGTCATACAACTAGCAAGCATCTGAAGTCTGATCTGAACTCAGGTCTTCCTGAGGGCAGGTCCGGTACTTCATCCATTGCTCCAACTAGCAGCCCCTGGTTGTGAACTCCTTGGTTACAAAAAATTGCTAGTTTGGGCTCTGGGAGAAGGTAAGATTTTTTAATATTTAATAACTGATCTGTTCTGTGATATTTTCCAAAGCAAAGTGTTAGATAAATGAAAACTATAGCATGCATTTGTTTTGACAATATAAACATTGGGATTTTGTTATCCACAAAAATGTTAACCACTTACTTTTTCTATTGACTCCAATGTTTCTGTATACTTCTCTTCTGTCTGTCTGATCTCTGCAAGGCAACAGCTTCGTATGTCATTTTCCAGACACTTCTGCAATTAGAAATGAATAAAACTACAATATTATTTAATGCACTACAACTCACTGATCTGTTCAGTATTAGAATCAAGAAAACGCATGATTATTTGTAGGCGTTCAAAATTTCAACACTAAAAAAATGACAGGTAGTTGATATTAAATACCAATCGTAAGGCATCAAAAATTGATTTTCAATTTTGGAACAGAGTAAATAAGAAAAGGTGAGAGAGTTAAGGAAGCGTGATAGAAAAAGCACTGGGCTTAAATCCAGAATACTCTACTACACACTAATTAAATCATAAGGTGGAACTGAATTTATCTGTTTGCTTTTGTCATCTGTAAAATAGGCATAATTATGCTCTAGACCTCATGGGATTGTTACGTGAAACAATAAACTGTAAAGGACTATGTAAAGTGCTATACTAATTATTAAGAACAACAATTAGAATAAGAATAAAGGTAAAATATATATATATTCCTTTGAAATAAAAGAGTCTGTAACTTTGATAGACTTAGCTTTTCTCAGGAATGCAAGGATCTAGACCTCTCCAAAAGTCTCATGATGGAAAATGTCCATATCCAGAGAAAGAACTATGGAGTTTGAATGCAGGTTAAAGCATACTATTTGTTCTTTTTTTTTTCTTCTGTTGGTTCTTCTTATTGGTTCTAATTTTTCTTTGCAACTTGACTAATGTGAAAATATATTTAATAAGAATGCATATGTAGAGCCTATATCAGATCGCATGCCGTCTTGGGGAGGGAGGTGGGGACAGAAAGAGAGAAAATTTAAAACTCAAAAGCTTATGGAAGTGATTGCTGAAAACTAAAAACAAATTAACATATAAAAAAAGAAATTAAAGAGTCTGCCTGGTGCAGAGTGAAAAAATACAGGATGTGAAGTCAGAAGATGAGGGCTTGAATCTCAGCTTTGCTACTTATTACTTTTATGACACTGGGAAAGTCACTTAACCCCTGTGGACCAACTGGTTTTTCTTATCCATCAAACATGTGTTGGGGGGCAGGGTGGAGGGGTTAGACGATCTTTAAGACTCCCAGCTATAAATCTATGATCTAATGGGTTAGAATTCCATATCTCTCACTTGTTATCTGTGTGACCTTGGGCAAGTCACTAAACTCTCTAGGTCTCAGCGTCCTCATCTGTAAAATAAAGGGGTCCTTTCTAGCTCCAAATCCTTAAAACTATGATTCTAAGAAAACTTCCTTTTCTTACTTTTTTTTTAAAGAAATTTACAATCACTTCCAATGAGCAACTCCCCTTTCCAGGCATGTGTCTCTATGTGCGTAATGACTGCTTCTAGAAATCCCAACCAAAGCAATGCTGAGAAATTGTCCAGGATGAAAACTTTAAGTACTTTTCCAAGAAATGGAATCTTGGTGTCTGACTTCTTACTTACAGGGCCACTTATACTGCCGTGTTCCACATCGGTAAAGCCCGCCCTTAGAAACAGAGGGAAGCAGAACATTGGAGCAATCTTCCCAGGGCGGCAAAGTTTCAGTAACATAGGAATAGGAGGAAGGAGCTCAGTTAAGCCATGCAAATGTATTATAGGTTTTTAAACATAGAAATGTGGCATTCAGCAGGAAGGAGGAGGTGGTATTTTAAGGCAGGAACAATGTCATTTCAACTAACTCTTCTTTTCATGTATGCTAGAGTACTTGATTTTATCCCCCATCTAATCTCCAGCGAAAATGGACTATTGACCATTCCCTAAACAAGTCTGTTGTTGTTGTTGTTGTTGTTGAGTTGTCTCAGTTGCATCCAACTCTTATGACCCCATTTGGGGTTTTCTTCGAAAAGACCCTGGAGTGGTTTGCCTTTTCCTTCCTCATTTTACAGATGAGGAAACTGTGGCAAACAGGGTAAAGTGACTTGCCTAGGGTCACACAGCTATGAAGTATCTGAGGCCAGATTTGGACTTAGGAAGAGGAGTCTTCCTAACTCCAGGCCCAGCACTCTATCCACCACGCCACCTAGCTGCCCCTAACAAGTCTGTAGCCTTCATATTGTCATACTTTTGCTCATACCACTAATTTCCCATGCCATCAGTGCTCTCTCCAACCACATTTACCCTTCAAAGTTCAATTGCTACCTCCTTCAGGAAGTCTTTCTTGATTCCCCATCTGAAGTCATGGTCCCTTTTTGTACCTGTCTTATGTATTTTCAGCACTTCAAAATGTTCATGATCATCTTGGTGTGAAAGATTCCCTATAGGCTTTCCAGGTTCTTGATGGTGGGCAAGATGTGAGGATTATATGAATCCACAGAAAAATTTAGGGCCTACTCAATAGGACCTAGGGCCATTCAAAAGAGATTAACCTAATAACCCAGTTGGGGAAAAGCAAGTCAATTAAAAATTCACAATGCATATGCTGTGATACAAATTTAGATGGACATCCCATTGAATTAATTCATCTGTGCATATATCTTGGATGGGCAAAGCAAATAAGCATAAAACTTCTTCCAGAAATGAATAATGGGAAGAGAGGGGACTTGGTCATTTTTGTGTGAACACATCTCCTCTGAACTGAATGCTCATAAAGGATAGAGACTATGTTTTGTTTAGCTTTGCATTCCCATGATGCTTAGTAAGTATTTGGTCAATGAATATTTAAATTAGTGATGATTATCTGAAATAAATGCTAAGGATGAACCTCTTTTCAGGAGTTTTTAAAAAAAAATCTCAGCATGATTTAGGATAAAATAGTCTACAACAGAAGCAAGACAGAATAATAGAAGAAAATTGCTTTAATGAGGAGAAAGGGCTTAAATAATAGTTTCTAAAGAAGACCGAGCTACTAAAAACAATTAGGCTTGAAATTAATGATATGTTTCTGAGTTACTTGGTATATTGAATACATATTGAGAAAAATTTAGGGTCATGTTATTTACTAACATCTATTCAAGAGAGTTCCCATTCAAAAGAATTCATAAAAAAAAAACTGAAGTTATGTGAACTGGTCTGAGGAAGGAAGGAAGGAAGGAAGGAAGGAAGGAAGGAAGGAAGGAAGGAAGGAAGGAAGAAACAAAGAAACAGAGAGAGAGAGAAAGAAAGAAGAAAAAATAAAAGAAGGAAGGAAAGAAAATAGAAGGAAAGAATAGAAAAAAAAACCTAGTAGCAAGATAATAAGAATTCTCAAGTACTTCAACTTAATGATTCCATGCTGGAATAGCTCCCTTCATTTTTAAGAAAATGGGAAGGTTGCAAAGGTTGAATTGAGCACCATAAGTTTGTGAAACTGCATTGGCAAGTTTTTTGTTTGTTTGGGGGGACTTGATTGAGAGTTAAAGACACTACAAATGTTGAATGACTAAAAGTATCACCTAAAGAGCATTGAAGAGGATAGATGCGAGCAGGAGTCGTGAAAAAGAATCAGAGTAAAGGAGGTCATCAAAGAAATGTATGAGCAAAAAAGGATGATGCTACTAATTTGGGCAAAGGGATAACAGGCAGAAAGACCATGGGGTCCACTCAAGTCCTTGTGATGTCACGAAGAAGTGACAAAAGCTCCTAGAATACCAGGTGAACCCCTACAGAAAACTAAGGGTAAGACTAGGGACAGGAATCACATAGGATGAACAGGCATGAATAAGTTCTACTCTGGATAGCTAGGTGGGACAGTGGGTACAGCACTGGGCGTAGAGTCAGGAAGACCTGGGTTCAAACCTACTCTCCGATACTTAGCTGTGTAACCCTGGGCAAATTACTTCACTCTATATGCCTCAGTTTCCTCACTTGCAAAATGGGTATTATAATATCTACCTCTCAGTGTTATTGTGAGGATCAAATGAAATAATCTTTATAAAGCACTTAGCCCATTGCTTGGCACATAGCAGGTGCTTAAAATCTTACCTTACCTGCATCAGAGGGCCTACATCACTGAGCATTTGAGTAGTTCTTTTTTTCTTTAAAATAGCATAAACAATGCACAGTGATTAAATGCCTTTGAGAATCTAATTTCTAGGTAAATACTTTCCTAAGGAGCAATGGAATCATTTTCCTAGGATAGTTTGAGAAAAGAAGTCAACAGCCATGTTTTTGAGTTGCCTTAAGGAGTTGTGCCTAGAATTAGATGGCTGAGCAATGGTTTTTTGAGGTCCATTCATGTCTTTACAATTATGATCTCAAGAAAAATATAAAATGTACAACTGACTCAATCCTACCTTTCTTTATTGTGATAAATGTAAGTAAAATCACAGAATCAGAATCACAGAAATTGAGAGTTGTATAGAGCTCCCATGGCTCATTAGTCAAGCCCATATATGAAAGGAATACCCAGAAAAGAACAGAACAAGAAAAGAATACCTAGAAAAGAACAGAACAAGCATTTATTAAGTGTCGATTACACACCAAGCACTTTACAAATATTTTCTTACTACATTCTCCAAAGAACTCTGCAAATCATACAACCTCTTTTGAGTCCATTTCCTCACCTGTGAAATGATGGGATTCAATTCAATGGCCTATGAGGGTATTTGCATCACTAATTCTATCATCCTCTCCCTTCCCTTACCTCTATTTCTATGATTCTTTTTTTTTTTTTTGCTAGGCAATGGGGTTGAGTGATTTGCCCAGGGTCACACAGCTAGAAAGTGTTATGTGTCTGAGGCCACATTTGAACTCAGGTCCTCCTGAATCCAGGGCCAGTGCTCTATCCACTGTACCACCTAGCTGCCCCTATTTCTATAATTCTTAATCCACTATGCTATGCTGCCCTCTCACTTACTATAATAACACTACAATTTCTATGATTCACCTCATCATCGACTGGTTCTACGGACTTAGGTATTGGTGGTGGTCTTTAGTCATGTTCAGTGGTTTCTGACCTTCTGTGACCCCTTGTGGGGTCTTCTTGGCAAAGGTACTGGAGTGGTTTCCCTTTTCCTTCTCCAACTCATTTTATAGATGAAGAAACTGAGGCAACAGGGTTAAGTGACTTGCCCAGGGTCACATAGCTAGTAAGTGTCTGAGGACAGATTTGAATTCAGGTCTTCCTGACTCTAGGCCCAGCACTCCTATCCACTGTACCACCTAGCTGTCCTGGACTTAAGTATACCTGATATTTAAGATTTAAGGCATTTTAAGTGGAATACTGGACACGCCAATTTTGCCTGCCACAGAGTGTTGCAGCCCCTACCACGTGGTTCGGGGTAGCCTCCTTTGATTAGTTGTCTGAATCTTTAGAACTGGAGAGACTGAGCTGTCCACTCTTTTTTTTCCCCCACAATGTGTTGTTGGCTCCTATCTGTTGCGACCAGCACAGATGCCATGAACTGAACCAGTGAGAGGGGAAAGACTTGATTTCTCCAGCTCTCTCTCTTTTACCCTGTGTTCAAGAACTTGCCCTGAGGAGATGTTTCTTTCTGTCTGTATTGTTTGTCCTTAGTTTCAGGGGCTGGAGGCAATTCCCACAGGGCTCAGGGGTTTGAACCATGACCATCTAGGAGCCAGGCAGAATGGCACAGCCAGCCAGCCTAATAAAGAAGTCCTGAAAAGCCTGGCTTCTTTGGAACTTGAGCCCAAGGAGAGTTTTTGCACTTGGAAATGGGACTGCCCTATAGGGGAATTGAGCTAAACCATGAACCTAATCTTCCCCTCCTCAGAGAATGAGGTGGTGCAAAGTGGAAGAGGAACTATGCCTCCCATGTATTAGGAAAGAAAGTTTATATATTTGTTAATATGCTTCCTGTAGTAAAAATTCCTTTGTTAAAAAAAAAAAGTCCTGTGGTATGTGGGGTCTCGTTTGAGATAAAATTTGGGCCCTTTGCTTTTGCAGGGATCCAGGGACAGACTGAGGCAGCTAGGTGGCTCAGTGGATAGAGTGCTGGGCCTAGAGTCCAGAAGACCTCAGTTCAAATCCAGCCTCAGATACTTGCTAGCTGTGTGACCCTGGGCAAGTCACTTAACCTCTGTTTGTCTTAATCCACTGGAGAAGGACATGGCAAACCACTCCAGTATCTTTGCCAAGAAAACGCTATAAAAGGTCATGAACGTTCAGATACAACTGAATGCCTAAACAACAACAACAATAGCTTCTCTCCTCACGCTTTCTGATTTTATTTTTAATTTTTTGATAACCTTAGACTGAGAGATCCTAAAGAAATTTGGCAATTTTTTTTAAGGTCACAAATGTGCTGTGGATTTTTTTTTCCTCCCAAGTCAATTTCATGGGTGTAATTTTCCAAACTTTTTATTCAGTTGCTTGACTTTAAATACTGATATTTTTCGTATTATTGAATTCTGTGTATGGAGTAGCATACTGATGTGTTCCATATGTTTGAATACTATATAAGTAAGTACTGGTATTAAGTATGCTTTGAGAAATTTGGAATCACTAGGTTGCTCCTGTCTGGTAGAAATGTTCACGTTGTTCTTTTAGTTTTTTTTGCATTTAAGCAGACCTAGGTGGTTTGCCTTTTATGAAAGCAAAATGCCCAATAACTTCTTAGGCTGAGAATGCTTATGCCCCAAATCCACAAGTAGCTGAATTTCTTGCCTCATCCCTCTACCTGTACCCTACTTATCTTCTTGTCCTGATGGATGGGTTTGCAATTCCATTTGGTTTATCCTATCGCACCAATCCATGGTGGGGGGTGGTTCCATGGGGAGATTCCTTATAGACATCCTAATAGCAGGGGAGGTCTTTGTGATGAGGGATGCAGAGGGAATTGTCTGGATGTCTGTTAGGATCACCTCTACTACACAGACCCCTAGAGAATTTTAGTGTGTATTGTTTAGAAAGGGAGACTTTTTGTGTGGACCTTAGTTGAACGACTTCATGCACTGAGGGGATCATGGTAGAGTTCTAGCCAGGACAGTTTTTTTGTTTGTTTGTTTTTGTTTTTTAGTTTTCTGTTTTTTGGTTTTTTTTTCTTTTGGGTGAGGCAATTGGAGTTAAATGACTTACCCAGGGTCACACAGCCAGTGAGTGTTATGTGTCTGAAGCTAGATTTGAACTTGGGTCCTCCTAACGCCAGGGCTGGTGCTCTATCCACCTAGCTGCCTCCAGTTGTTTTGGTTTTTGTTTTTTGTTTTTTTCATTTAAGAAAAAGACAATGCCTAGTTGACCCCAGGTCCCAAATCCCTATGGCAAAAACTCCACATAGCTCAGAAAGCTATGTTTCTGTTCAAGATATACTCAATTTTCTTTGTCTTTCTCCTTTCTTCTGCTTCTGAATTGAGAAAGGCCCTAAAAGATTAATAAGGCTAAGCAAGCAAATACATTTGGTAAACTTTGTAAAATGCTTCTTATTTTGTTGGCTTTTTTAAGGGACTTTGTGAATTGTTCCTTGTTCTCTGAATCTGCAAAACTTTGTATTTGGAGATAATTGATTTACATTTGTACATGCAGGATTGAATATGACATTTGAGACTACATAAGGTATGGGGGCAGCAAGTCAGTGGACTTGCTTATATCTCCTCAGAAATTATAGAAAGTTTTTCTGAATTTGGGCCAAGGGCCGTGGGGGAGTAAAAAAGATACACCTCTGCCTATTTGCTAAGAAGGGCAAATTTCAAACAGGGGGAAATGTACAGCCTAGACTTCTCTGGGCATCCCTAGTTCTAACATGGAAATGCCCTTGAGCATGCCCAGTTTCCCTAACATGGGATCTGCCCCATCCTCTACCACATGGGTGAGGTAGCCTCCTTTAATTGGCTGCTTAAGTCTTTAAAAGTGGTGAGACTTTCATGATGGAAAATGCTATCTATATCCAGAGAAAGAACTATGGAGTTGGAATGCAGATCAAAGCATACTATTTGCTCTTTTTTTTCTCTTCTGTTTTGTTTTGTTTCTTCTTTCTTGTGGTTCCTCCTACTGGTTCAAATTCTTCTTTACAACATTACTAATGTGAAAATATATTTAATGAGAATGTATATGTAGAGCCTATGGTCAGATTGCACGCCATCTTGGGGAGGGTGGTGGAGAGGGAGGGGGAGAAAATTTAAAACTCAAAAGCTTATGGAAGTGAATGTTGAAAATTAAAAATAAATTAATTTTTAAAAAAGTAGTGAGACTTAGACGTTTACTCTCCTTTTCACCATCTTTTGGCTGTGCTCTATCTATCCCATCTATCCAGCATGGATGCCATGAATTAATTTGGTGAGAGGGGAAGGAGTTGTTTCTTTTACTCTAGCTCAGAGAAATAGTTCTGGTGGTGTTTGCTTCTGTTCTGTTTGGTTTATCCTCAGTTTCAGGTACAAGGACCGGACCCGTGATTCAAGCCATGATGACCCTAAAGCCTGGATTACTGGCAGGATGGTGCAACCAGCTAGTCTGGCTGACATGGAAGCCCAGGGTACCTGGGACTTGAGCCTGAGGAGGGTTTTGGATTTGGAACTTGGGACTGAGTTAAGCCATGACCCTAATCCCTTCCTTCCCCAGTGACTGAGATATAAGGGGAAAGGGGATCATTCTTCTTATATGTTAAGGGGAGCAAATTTATATATTTGCTATTATACCTTTTGAAGTAAATATTTCTAGGTTACATAGGGTTTGCAAAACACTTTACCTACACTTTAAAGTACTTTACCTCTCTGGGACCCTCATTTTTCTCTATAAAACACAGAGAATGGACTGAATGATCTGGAAGTTCCTTCTAGCTTCAAAATGTGGTGGTAGTTTGTCTTGATATGGTTCCAAATGCAATAACTCTGATTTGCTACATACATTTCTCCAGTGTTTTGCACATAGTAGGGGTGCAAAAAAAATGCTTCTTGTAAATATTAGTGAATGAATGAAAAGAATAAATCAAAGGAAGTTAATGCATTGGGAGACCCAATGACATACATTTATTTCCTAATTAGCATTCTTACAAAGTAACTTAAGAAAAAAGAAACAGTAAAAACGTACCGGCTGCTGGGCTTCTTCAGCCTTCATTAGGTCTTCGTACACTTCTCCCCCTTCATCTTCTCCATAAACACAGTCATACAAGTCTTCTTCATCATCTGCACGAGTTTCACTAAATCCAAGGGAAATTATTGTAAAGGTCAATCTCTAGTATGCAAAACATGTAAGGAAAGACTGAAATACCTCCCACTGTATCTTGTTATTCTTTCAAACAACCAATTAAAAAAGGAGGCAAGACAAAATAAATGGAAGGAGCAGTGGCCCAGTAGTCAGCAGGCCTGGGTTCACTCATTCATGAACTAAAGTAGAGTTTGAAGCCTGGTGCTATGGCAACATGGTTGGGTGATCTTGGGTGAGTCATTGAATCCCCAAGTCCACTGAATCCTTCTCTGAACTTTAGTTTCCTCATCTATGAGAATGTGAACAACAGATAACTCGTAAGAACTGATGCAAAGTGAGGTGAGCAGAACCAGGAGAACATCGTGCACAGTAACAGCAACATTATATGATGAAGAACTGTGAATGACTTAGCTATTCTCAGCAATACAATGATCTAAGACATTCCCAAGGGACTAATGATGAAGCATACTATCCATTTCCAGAGAAAGAACTGATAACTATCTGAATACAGACTGAAGCATGCTACTTTTTCACTTTTTTTTTTATTCTAGTCTTCTTGTACAAAATGACTAACATGGAAGTGTTTTATATGATTACACATGTATGAACTATATCAAATTCCTTACCATCTCAGAGAGTGGGGAGATATTTGACACTTAAAAAAATTTTTAAACGTTTTAAAAATTGTTTTAACATATAATTGGGGGAAAATAAAATGGTATTTAAAAGAAAGAAATGTTGTAAAACTCTTACAAAATGGGAAAGATTTTAGGTCAGTCACTTCAGTTCACTTGGCCTAAGCTTTCCCCATCTGTAAAATAAGAAGGTTGAACTATATAACCTCTGAGGTCCCTTCTATCTATAAATATCTATGAAATTATATGATATAATAAAAATTAAAATAATAAAAATGATAATACCTAGCATTTGTATAGCACTTTCAGGTTTACAAAGTTCTTTATAAATGAAATATTTTTTCATTTTTTCCTCAGAACAACCTTAGGAGGTGGATGATATTATTATCCCCCACATTACAGATGAAGAAATTAAGGCAGACAGACACAAAGCTAGTAAGGGTATAAGTACTCTATCCTCTGTGCTACCCCAAAAAGCTATCCTAATCCCTTGTATTTTCTTTGGGCAGTAGGATGGGTAAGCTATCCCTAACAGCTGTGACTCTACACTATCTTTTAAAGACCGTTGGTGAACCAGTTAATGCTGAACCTTCACAGTACAGAAATTATCTCTTATATTTATCTAAATACCTCATGTTCAGAACCAAGATTTCATCAGCATCAGAAACACCTGGTGTGCAAATGCCCAGGCTCCCTTCACAGACAAAGATCAACAATTTCTCCTCAATTTATAATCCTATAGTTGCCAGGGAGCAGTGAAAGCTTAAGCAATCAGTTCTTGTTGACACAGACAGAATGTGTTAGAGGCAGACCTTAGAGAAAGGTCTTCTTACCCGGAGACCAGCCCTCTATCTACTTCACCATGATACCACTAGGCCAAGGTTACACAGCTAGTAAATGATAGAGTCAAGTCTTGAACTCGAATGTTCTGACTCCAAGACATAACCTCTGACCGCTAGACCAGGCCGCCACTTGACATCTCCTCTTGTCAGATCTTCATGAAGCCTCTCCTGGTCCTCCCTGATATTCGTGACTTCCCTCTGAGATTATCTCCAATTTATCCGTACATATTTATTTATACATCTGTGCATTTTGTACCTGGAATTCCCCACCCTGAGAAAATATTATGTCTACACTCCTACCCTATCATCATTATAAACACATTCAAAGGTAAATATTAATTATTTTCTTTCATATTGGCCATTTAGGATTATCTACAACTCTGTTCCTTTCTACTAGCTCAAGTAATCAAAAGGTGATTTTTTTTAAAAGAAAAAAAAAACTCTATCCTCTGTGCTACCCAAAAAAAGAACTACTGTCCATAATATAAGGTAATATGACTGCTGTTAAAAACATCTATGAAGAGCTATTGTCTTGTGTTTTCTTTGGGCAGTAGGATGGGTAAACTATCCCCAATAGTTGAGAATCTCCTTTATCTTTTAAAAAGCACTAGATTGGGAGTGGCTAGGTGGCAGCTAGGTGGTGCAGTAGATAAAGCACCGACCCTGAAGTCAGGAGGACTTGAGTTCAATCCAGCCTCAGACCAAATATCTGGCATTAGCTATGTGACTCTGGGCAAGTCACTTAACCCCTGAGTGCCTAAAAAAAAAAAAGCACTAGATATCACCCTGGTGATCCAGTCAATGTTGAACCTTCACAGTACAGAAATTCTCTATTTATTCTAAATATAGATTTAGAGTTGCGTGTTTTCATTTTCTACCTCACTAGACTGTGAGCTCCTTGAAATTAGGGATTACTTTCATTTTTGTTTCATCTTCTTGTATCTCCAACACTCAACACAGTGCCTAGCTTATAGTAAGTGCTTAATAAATATTTGTTGACTTGGCTCTAAGGGACAATGACAGCATCCAGACTCATAATTCTTTTTTAAACTCCCTCTACCAATGTAGTCTGGCACTTCTTCATAATTTATGATTTTAGAGAGTTGACTAGATCGCTCAGAAGTTAAGTGATTTGTCCAGAGTCATAGCACCAGGATGTTTTCAAGGTGGCCCTTGATCTCAGATCTTAATTTCAAGGCTGGCTCTCCATCCATTACACAACACTGCCTCTCATAATTACACGGTAAACCCATTTCTTTTAGTTTGTTCTCACTGAAGTTGGATGCTACCATCCACTCTATGAGTTCTGTAAGTAACGCTTAAAAATTTGAGTAAATTCTCAGAGAATGGAGATGAAATTGACTGAACATGAATAGCCTATATTGAATTGCTTGCTTCTCAGTGAGGGGAAGGAGGAAAGGAGAGAATTTGGAATTCAAAGTTTTGAAAATGAATGCTGAAAATTGTCTTTGCATGTAACTGGAGAAAAATAATATACTAAAAAATACTGAATAAATATATTATTTAAATAAATAATAATACTAAATAAATAAATAATAATAATAAATACATAATAAATAAAATAAAAATACTAAAAAAAAAAATGGCTCAACCATTTCATAGCTCTACCAGCCACACATTGGTATGCCTGTTTTTGCTTAGTTCTTTCAATGATTGTCATTTGCCTTTTCTATCATCTTGGCCAGGCTGATGGGTTTGAGTTGGAGCCTCACAGTGGTTTTATTTTGCATTTTCCAGTTATTAGGGATTTGAAACATTTTTTTCAATGTGGTGGTTAATTGCTTAGATTTTTTCCTTTGAAAACTGACTTCTGCATTTATATGTTTAGACAACCAGACAATATGTGTGTGTATGTACATACACATACACACATACACACACACACACATACACACACATATATAACTTTAAAATAAAATACTGTGGTAAATTTTTTAAGAAAAAAGAATGGAGATGAATTTAATTTAGCTATGTTGTTGACAAAACAACATGAATACGGTTCCTGAAATAAATCTCACCTCCTCAAAGTGATCCCTCAGCCACTGCCCTGGGGCTAGACACCACATCATAAAATTGATATTTATAAAAAGAAAGCACAGTAACTTTCACAAATGGGAACATTTTGCAACATAGGTGTGTTTGTGTTGGTTGGCATATACAAGAGCCTCTGTGAAAGTAGGTAGGTGGGTGTGACCAGAGAAGCAGTGGTTTGGAGAGGAGTTACTTAGAAGGAGGGAAAGAGAAATTTAAGGGGAAAAGGAATGATTGTTGGGAGGAGTTTCTGAGGGAAGATTTTTCTGGGGAACAACTGACTATTCCAAGGACAGTCATAGATTTTTCTAACAGAAGAGCAATTATTCGGTTAGATAAGCTCAAGACCTAGTGTTTTTCTCCTATACTTTTCCTTTTCTAAGCTAGTTAGATAGCCTGCCAATTCTCCCTAGATCCCAAGATGGGCTGATCCTTGGCTACTTTCCCAGGACAAGGGTACGGGGTTTCTTCCCTGAATGCATCTGAGACATTCAGTTGCTTCTGGTTAAGCAGGAAAACCTTGACTCAAACACTTCATGCAATTGTTCAATACTATACTAAAGAGATTTTTTTTTCTCCTAGAAAAAAAATCACCTTTTGATTACTTGAGCTAGTAGAAAAAAAAGAGTTGTCCATAATCCAAAATGGCAAATATGAAAGATAATAATTAATATTTGTGTTTATAATGATGATGAGGTAGGAGCGTAGACATATGATTTTCTCAGGGTGGGGAATTCCAGGTATAAAAACTCCTTCCAAAGACGCAGATCAATACCTTTTGTACAAGTTAGCGTCTCAGAGAGGGGCTTTGCCGTATTGACATCTAGTGTGAGGGGCTTGTGGCAACTGGCCAGGTCAAAGGCAGGACCTAAATCCATGTCTTCCTGACTCAAAGGCTGGACTTCTGGATTCCTCCACATTGCTTCTCAATTGTAATTACGATAATAACTTTTAAATAGCGTTTTGACATTCACAAAAGGCTTTACAACATCATTGTCTCAATTGATCCTCACAAGACTGTGAAGTGGCTGCTCTTGATGTTATTATCACTAAAGGTCAGACAGTAAGTCAAAGGTCTCTCTGAATTCAAGTACAGAATTCTTTCAATTATGCATCTTTTGATTATAACTAACATTTATACAGTACCTTAAAGTTCACAAAGAATTATGTAGAGGCAGATAGAAAAATAGAAAGACAGATGGATGGACAGATGGATGGATGGATATTATCTTGTAACCACAAACCTTGCCAGGTAGGTGGTATCATTAACCCTATATTAGAGATGAGGAAACTGAGGCAGGCAGAGGTTAAGTGATTTGTCCAGGGTCACATGACTAGTAAATGCCTGATGTAGGATTTGATCTCAGTCCTTACTGGCTCTGAGCTCAGCACTCTAACCACTATAACATCAAGCTGCCTACCAAGGCCAATTTTTACTTATAGTTGGATGAAGACATATCTGA